ATATACATTGACCAGGTCCGGAAAACGTAAACTTGCAGTGTACTTGTAACAGCAACAGTTACAGAGGTCCCTCCCTTACAAACAAATGATCTTCTAGAAAATTAGAAAGTTAGAATATTGAAGATTGTTTATGTGGTTCAATATTTAAGGTAAACCAAATGATGTTTTACCTTCTGAAGTGAACCGAAAAGATAAATATTGTTTAAAAATTTTCTGACTTTTCTTATTACTCCATACTAACAATAAAAAAAGCTTTCGAAAATGTGTACCATATAACCTTACATTCCATCCCCTCTGCCGTAGATGACGAGAAGTTTAGTCCCTGAGGCTTGCTGTAACTTGCATGCACGTTAACATTCATTTGAATAGTGGCACGGTTATGAATATAAACATGTACTCGACGATGTTCTGAATTTACCATATATGTGAAAAATATTAAGTATACTGAATAATAGAGTACTCTTCCACGCTAAATTTTGACTTTTCTTTCCATTACTTCGGATTTACCTTAAACGCCTTCAAAACTTAGGCCCCTAGCTTCATTACCGAGTCCGAGATAGACGGACGACACCGCTGTATGACACAGTTTAATTCATTATTTTGTTCTGCAGTATCTAACTTTGTATTAAAAGTTGTTATTGACTTCTGTGTTCCAAAGAATATGGCCACTCAAGGATACAGAAAAGGAAACGCGGTACTGACTCTACAACATGTCTGCTGGATATACTATAATGCTTTCGGAGATCCCGTGACAGAAACTATTACGTAGTCGTTATTTTCGAAGAACATTGAATTCGTCTATGTGACGAACATTACAATCGGATTATATCAAATTGCCCCTGCAGATTTGGAAGTCGAGCATGGAAACTTCGTAAAACTATTGATTTTATGAATAAATAGACTGTAAAATATTGTGTTTACAAAGACTACGATATTGCAGTTACTAGACTTTATATTAAGATGAATTTCCAACAAGCTAACAGATGCCATTAACACTAATTATCCTGACATCACAAATCTGCTGACGTTAATGTGTCAACACATCATTGCTAATTGTTTACTTTGTAAACGTTATCAAACAGATACTCGTCATTGTCATATAATACAACCAAATACAACTGGGTACTCAGGGAGTAGGATTACTGCATTGTGTGTTTTGATCTATCTTGAATGAACGATATTAGAACGTTTGAAAACAGCCTTAACATTTCGATAGCAATCGCGAAATTCTCCTCGCCTTCACATCACTTCACACCACTGAACATCACAAAAATATAACTTCCATCAACATTACTTTTCTCTACCCATAGAATTTACCACAAGGAAACTGAAAATTCGACTTCTGTATAACCGCAACATAGCGATCACAAATATGAGTTCAATGATTTCAATATTAGTATACTATGAGAATTATGTAGGCCACACAGGTTCTTGGTTAAAGTGATGGCAGGTTTTAATAACTATGATATTCAAAATTTTTAACATCAACCAAAATTACCTAGTTCCCTGGAATTGAAACCATTGACGGATTATCTTTATATGCAGATCGCATTTTTCTAAACACATCTGCCAAGCTTGCAAGGTTATGCACTATAATTATGCATGTTTAATAATTAGAATTTATTTTTCTATAGTACAGTTATGTCCTATTCTAGGTAACGATAGTAACGATAATCATTTTCTGCATTATTCAAGGTAGATAAGTTGCTTTCTATTTAGATAATGATGCAATGAACGTTTTGAACAGATTGAATATTGTGATTGCAAACTTACCATTTTGTGTTAAAATGATTACTTCCAAGGGGATATGATTGAACGACTAAACTTATTTTATACGTCCTGTATTTTTTGAGGGAAATTATCAATGACATGTTATATCTGTCGCCTGTCACAATTTGTAAAACACCGGATGCTGTGCTCAAAGCCACCCATCTATGGACACAACAGTTCAGGATAATAATTATTCACTGTTTTGTGACGTTGCGTGACTCGTTGGGACGACAATTTCCCGTTGTTTAGTCCCCTAATAACCATGTAGCAGAACATCAGCGGTATGGTCCCAGTGGTGACTGTATTTCTGATTGTAGTGTGTGGTGCCAGATTAGCATGAACATCATTCCCGACTGTTCCCAACTGTCCTGCCGTGACAGCCACTAGGCCCACACAATCTCGGCCAATATTTGCACGGTGTCTATTTTGAGTCTCTTTTCTGGTGCAAACGTTTATTGCGTTCAGCTTTATGACGATTGTTGACTGTCCGTAATTTGTTTCTAAGACAGACACCATAACCCAACTGCATTTTGTGCACTTGACGTGTTTTAGGAATAAAAATAGTTGTGCCGGTGTAGCAGTGAGAAAAATATTACATACATCATGAATAATGATAAGCAAAAATGAAATATATAGAACATAAACTGTCACTATCTATATGTTCAATATCAAGTTTTTGATATGAAATGGAGAAATGTGTCTGAATATCAGAATTCCAGGGTTGTACTTATTACTTCCTGTATGTAACAACAGCACATATGGCTCATCTCTCACTCCCTATAGAAAGAGACATTTCATTGACATTAGTTTTAGGGATATATGTTACTCGGTAATTCTAGAACAGGGTCAAATTGAACAAATTGAAGCGTGAAGCTTCGTATTGATATCTCGTGACCAATAATATCCGAATATTTATAGAAAACCAATATATTGCTTCTATTTGTTTAATATGTACCAGACTGAGCTCATTAAAAATAAACCAAAATACGCACCTACACCAGACGCTAGCTTTAATTTTTCCTATATTGAAACAAACCGGTACGACTATAACCAGCCAGGCTGTATGTTGAAGTCTAGAATAGTAACAAACACGCCTCTCCAGTCCATTATATTGTCATGTTACAGTTGATTCGATAATTAGGTGATTGTTCTCCATATCGCGCTATAATTGTAAAGGCGGACAGATCAATTCGAAACGAAGCTGTTCGCGAGATGCAGGTTGATTGGGGAAGTTTGTTTCGCTGGAGAATATTGTTTTCCCTGTGCTTGGTTATTATTGTTCGATGCCCGTTAGGCAGCCTGATCGTTATCGTGTTGTTAACATCGTTCTCACTTGATAAGCCAGATTTACTTGGCAGATGCCGGCAGATGAAGCAGGGTGATTTGCCCTTCCGGAACACCTGGGCCCGTATTCATGAAACCATTCTCATGCTCAAGCATATATTTTTTGCAAATCACTTTCAAATGATATAGAATACGGAAAAACAATACCTAGAGAGAAAATACTTTATTTTTAGATATAATGAAATAATAATCGGACACATGTTCACAGTGAAGAACTATGGAAGGAGGATGCACAACCACCACACACACACATAAGTGACAATGTTACGATTGATATCACTAGCGTGAGAAACCAGCTACTGATTGTAGCTAACATAAAGAAAGTTATCAAGAACATTATTCTCTATTCAAGGAGACCTACACTCATTCTACAGTAAGGCAAATTAGGAGGACACAACGTCGACCTCACAAGTGCTGCCGTAAGGTGGTAAAAAGTATTAACGTAATAACGAGCAAATTACAGTCATTTCATACGAGCTTCGTCACCGCTCTGAGTAGATCCGTGACACACTGTGAGTAGATCTGTCTCACTCTCTGTGTACATCCGTCACACTCTCTGAGTATATCCGTCTTTCTCTCTGAGTAAATACGTCACACCCTCTGAGTAGATCAGTCACACACTATGTGTGGTTTCGTCACACCCTCTGGGTAGATCTGTCACACACTTTGAGTAGATCTGTCACACAATCTGAGTAGATCCGTCACACACTTTGAGTAGAGCCGTCACACACTCTGAGTAGATCTGTCACACACTATGAGTAGATCCGACACACTCTCTGAGTAGATCTGTCACACACTATGAGTAGATCCGACACACACTCTGAGTAGATCTGTCACACACTCTGAGTAGATCCGTCACACACTCTGAGTAGATCTGTCACACACTCTGAGTAGATCGGTTACACTCTCTGAGTAGATCCGTCACACACTGAATAGATCCGTCACATACTATGAGTAGATCTATCTCACCCTCTGAGTAGATCCGACACACTCTCTGAGTAGATCCGTCATACACTCCGAGCAGATATATCTGTTTCACTCTCTGAGTAGATCTGTCACAACCTCTGAGTAGATCTGTCACACACTCTGAGTAGATCTGTCACACACTTTGAGTAGAGCCGTCACACACTCTGAGTAGATCTGTCACACACTCTGAGCAGATCTGTCACACACTCTGAGCAGATCTGTCACACACTCTGAGTAGATCCGTCATTGTGTGATCATTTAGTTCGTATAAATACACTTTGAAAGTTTCATATTTATCTATCTCTTTCTTATGTCTTGATGGACATGCTTTGACCATGTAAAATACAATAACTAATATTTTTGTATATATCCGTAGCAATACTAGCCACTTACAGAATAAAGATCAATTCCTAGAACATATATTGAGTACCAATTGTAAGGATCAGCAAAAACACCAGCACCGGAAACGTTCCATTCACTGTCACAAACGAACACTTTCTTGTTAGTCTCATGTTTGAAAAGACGCCATTTACTGGAAAGTGATAAAATCATAAACGTAATGGTTTATAGAAGTGACGGCTAATTAGGCGTCATGGTTACTTGGGATGAACACAAGATAGGCGTCATGTGAACTGGAGTATCAAACGCATTGTTAAAATAGATAGACTCATTTGTTGTAAGAAGATGTAAGCGATTGTATCTGCTGCATATTCCAGACAAATGATCAGATCGGAATAAAATAATGATGATGGTTGGGTCGACTTGGTGGGATCGTTCGGTTACAACTTATTTAAAGTACATTGATGTACTACGAATCTTTCTTAAAACTTGTTCGTACCAGGCATGACATTTATATATCCTATTCAGTAAGACCTGGGTATAAGGTCTTGAACTTAAGTAAGGGAAAGAAACTCAAGGTGTCACTGGCGCTTGTCGTTTATTGATGGTTCGTCTTGGCTGCCATAACTAGGCCATCTGGCATTTGTCCTGGCAATCGATTGCTGATAGCTGTAAACTTGTTTTTCCAACGCATAGTTTTCCGCCTGCAATGCCAGAATTTCTCGCCTGAAAAGATAACATAAGATATATTGTAAACGTTGCAAGGGGTTGTATTGTGATACATTTGATTGTGTGTATTTTTTTCATTTGAATCAGTATTAAAAGGCCATTCGTGAGCTTTGACTAGACACATTGATATTTGTGCTGACTTGTAAACTGGTTTGTGTACATAATAATGCATTCACCAGCTTCGTTTCTAATACACTTAGATTTGTGTCACCGTCAGGGTTACACACGCATGACAACGCTTAATGACACTGGTCTAATTAGGAAGTTGATTCATTTGCATTGATCAATACCAGTTACACTAGCTCAAGCAGAACCTATACAGACGTCAACCTTAAGTACTCGCCACTAATAAAAGTGTTTAACAAGAATTTGTCACATTGTAAGTAATCATGCATATGGTCTGAATTAAATTTTTATCAAAATTCTAATCTTACGAAATTAAATTGAATGAACGTACACCAATGTGGTGGTCTGGAACTCCAGATGAAACATGACGTATGGAAATTCGAGAAGCTGAAGGAATGCAAAACTACAGAATGTTCTGAAATACCAGAAACTGAAGGAATGCTGGACTACAAAAACATGATAATTTACATATTTCTGACAAAATTTATCTTTGTTTTGGTCACTTTTGGTATCAAATACCTACAATTCATGTTTCGTTTTTCGTTGTTTTGACCAATCGGGGCTTTCTAATAGATACATTGAAATTCAACGATTACCATGTTCGTGCGCAACTGAAGGGTAGGTTGAATAAGTTAATTTTCCGTTTAATTTTCCGCGTATAATTCTGGTTTTTCGTGATTTGATAAATGACTGGTAGGTAGTTTGCACCTGATAATACCATAGCATTGTATAACTACCACGTAAAGGGCCAAAATGGTTTGATATTGTTGCTCAGTGTAACACCATGACCATCCGATATCATATTTTACGAACGCTTCTGTATCCATGTTTGTTTTTGCTTGCACTGGCTTTTTCTATTTGCTTTTTCCTTCAGAAATGTAATATAACGAAACGTCATTGGCCTTCCGTTTAATATATTATAGATTTCACCAAGGGCGTTCGTGAGAAATATAGATATTCTGTCATACTCGTGAAACTCTAACGTTGCTATTCACAAGTTTGTCTTATGTACAAGACTCGATAGTCTTGTTGCCTTTTTACTAATTGAAGTGTTTATCGATAAATGAATTTACAACTAAATTATAGAAATTAAATCGAAATAGAAACATCAATAGGAAACATTAGATCATCACTCAATAAGTTTTATATAATATAGTACAAATCACTAGACATGCTATTAATGGACGAAAAACAAAATTTCTCTTGCATGAATATTACTAAAGTCAGAATATGAAGAGAATACATGATCAGTGTCTTTAGATATAAACTGTAACTTGGCGAGAGTGAAAAGACACAAAGTATCTTTTTGTGCTGAGCCAAAAATGCCGCTTATATTCCATGACATTGACCATGTATTCTATTCATTCTGCAATAATTGAAAATTCAGACTACAGAAATTTCAACGGTTTGATGGAGCAATTCAATCTGCATTTAGCTCATGTTGAATGTAATGCTGAATCTTGCCTGATGACACACGTCAAAACAATTGCTTCGCGCAGAAATATAGTTCCATACATCAATGAATATATAAAAGCAATTTTCAGAATTTTCAAATATAAACTTATTGTTATAACAAACTAAATATCTTATCTAAAAGTTCTTTATATTTTTGAATGAAATATTTAAGTAAATCCTAATGTAATTATTACATGTGCTCCAATGCAGATGTTTTCTGTCATTGCCGAATACAACAAAAATATATTTGGCATGTATATTCCGAGAATGGCAGCAGTGCAAGTTGCAAGATGAACAGAATAGACAGGACAGGCAACCGTATGTGCTTCTGCTACAGTATAACGACACCCAGCGTATGTACAAGAGTGGTTCCGGACATAAGAAAGTCGTCAATCAATCCAAGCACATTTACGAGATTGGACTAGAGTTGTACCAGTAAAAATGTCAGGTCGCAAGGCGCTACAGTGAAAGTCAGTGGCCACATGACTTCAAGGACAAATTGAAGTCAATTATCACATGAATTATAAATTAGTGTTAAACCGGTAATACGGGTTTATTTTCAGTCACACACCAAGGAAGATCGCAAGGTGGGGTTATTCTATACTTATCGTATTATTAAACCCTCTTTGTTTCCATTTGTTAAGGAGAATTTTATGCTTTTCATTCGGTTGCAAAGTCATTGCATATCTATATATGTTCTGTTTATTGAACATTAAACAGACGCTTTATCAGCAAACAAAAGTCATGGCCTGACACCTTCTCATCGCCCGGATGAGAAAGTCGTCATTCCCTTTACACATTAATCAGTATTAGTGTTGATGAGGAAATAAGGGTCTGGAAATAAGGACACCGTTGAAGGTCAACCAGTACGAATTGCTCAATTGATTTAAAGACAATCATCAACTTATGTTCTTTTCCTACAGTCCAAAAAAGAGGTCCCCGAATTGTTTTATCTATTTTATTTGATCGAATACATATACAAATTGGGTGATGATTATTATACATACGCATTTCGTAAATTATCATTAACAGATGTCTAAATTACATTATCGTTGGTTTTGCAAATGGTTAAATGGTTTCCGATTATTTTTTTAACGTAGGTTTCTCGTCCGAATTCTGATTTTCCTCGCTGAGTGATGTCAATAGTAGTCCTTTGGGATAGTTGTCCGTATGTACCGATGCTATGAGATCTGAGCCATTTGTAATTTGGAATCGACGAATATTCTAAGGTCGGAAAAGGCCGGAGTTTTTTGGTATTTCAAAGTTGGCAACCAATCCAATTTCTTGATATCTTTCGAATACGTCCCAAATAGCTATACGTGATGTCTGGTTTGAGAGGTAAATCAATACCAAAATCTTTGAGGCTGTTTATCTATTCAAGACCTGACATCTTCTGGGATTTCAAATTTAAATAGCTTACGTAATATGAACAGAAGGTTGTGATTGTTTATTTTCTATTTGTTGAACCTAAACAATTCTTAAACCGACAACTAGGATATCTAAATCCACAATGTCCATGGGGAACGGGAGAGATATGGCATTGTGCACCTCAGAATATGCCATCATAGAGTTTAATTATATTAAAGTTTGAACGAAATATATATTGATCATGTCCAACACATTTACCTACTGGAATTGGAAATCAAGGACACAACAGACTCTTGTGCACGTCAGTTGCTTACCTTGATATTTTCATATAGCGTAACTGTCAGGGACAGCTTTCCAATGAGCTGTATAATATACGTTATGATTTTGATTTCTCTATTGGGACTTCCATTTCTAGACAGCAACGTCCCTGTTTCTCACACATATGCTGTACATGTCGCATTTAATTCAGTATTCCAAATAGCATGATTTTCAAGCACGAAACCGACAGCTGGTTCCTTTGATTGATAAGAGATGCAAACTGAAGAAGCTTTTAGAGGAGTTTTATGGTTGCCATAATGATCTAGATGTGACATTATGTGCGTCTAATACTCGTTAGTATGCCTAATGATTCTATTCTCAAGGTTCAAAGTTTCATCGACCTTGAGTTTGAAGCAAGATTCTGACATATCGGTACTTTCCTGTCTTAATCATGAATTTGCAAAGAGAATAAAATGATATCCAAACTTCAAGTGAAACACGTTAAATACGAATTCGAGATGACAGAGATAGGGACTGAGTGGATAGATATGGTAGAGTTCTACGTAAGTCAAACAAGTCAATAATACCTTTAAAATTGCCTAATAATAAATTATACCATATGTCTGATTCGTTCTTCTAGAAGCTGTCATCGAGGACAGAACTTGTAAGTCAAGAAGGGCACATTTAGATGCCGTTACTGTCGACAAAACTTATTATACCTTCACCGGAGACAGACAATGAAATCAATCAAGAGGAAGGAAAATAAAACAACCTGTACAACATTTAAAAGCCGTGATGGCAAACGGACTTCGTTTGTCTGAGAAGTCAAGATAAGCTATATTGACATACGTCTTCAGAGACTCGACATCTGACAGCAAACCAATTGAAGGAATGAGCATTCTTTATTTTCATGTGGCGAAGATAATATTCATGCAACAGTTACTGTATGATGTTCAGCAGGAATGGTTTTGTTTATGTAGCAGGTTGCTATCAAAGTATATGGATTTCGTCTTATGACGAAAGACTGACGTGACGTCATCAGTTTTACTTACATCATTTGGTGTTTATGTAGTCTGGTTGCGTCGTCAAGGCTGTGAAAGTTTGGACTGATGAGTAGATGGGAGTCTATCCACTCGATGTGGACAGTGAGTGTCTGGTCATCACTACTGAGAAAGTCACCGTCTGGATCGTTCAGCTACAAAACAAGGCACCTGTGTTTAATAATGGCAATAACAGCAACGGGTTTACTGAAATTCTTCATAACATTGGAATATTTTATATATATTCATTCAATTAATCTTTCACGCCCTTTGTTGTTTTCATGTTCCAACATTTGAAGCGTATATCTGTAACCAGTACGTGTACTTTTATATTAAAATATGTCATTTTGCTACTTTACAAGCAGAGAGATAATTTGCTGTTTGATTTTAGTTGTGTCAACAATTATCTAGTTAAAGTCAAACTAAACGTCTTCAGAAATAGACCAAACAACCTTAAATATTTCCTTTCATGGGGTAAGGGGGTCTAATATCAGCTTTAAACAACCTTATTGTTTGCTTTGGAATTATGTCTTGTAATGGAATGTAATAAGTTTTTTCTTTTGTATATCGTTTGCAGTAATTCGGGTCATTTTGAGTTATATCGGTTATATTAGGAATTCCTTTTGCAAATACAACCAATTCTGTACCCAGATAAATAAACTACATATCTGTTATTTTCTCCATGTGTTGGTGTAAATGTATTTACACTGAGTATTGGGCCAATATGCAAATTCTACGTATATGCTAACCAAAGGACGTATTGTTTTACCGACGTAGTTAACGATTGTTTTTATAAAACTGTAAATTCATCAGCAGGGTATTTTGTGATGTCGTTGATTATTATTTACTGAAAATACATGTAAAAAGAAATATGAAGTGTATTGATACTGATGATGAAATTCTTCATGAAGATGAAGATCTTCCTACATTCATGTACTTTTTACATAACCAGTGTGATCAAACTGCGCTCCTCTCTTGACTTGCTTCATTTTGTAAAGAATTTGAATGAATCGAAGAGTTTATCGAAATAGGGCATGGGCCATACCAAATTCGCCAATGAGTCACTTATCTCGATTTTACATAAAAAGCATAGCTTTCAACCACGATGTGTGATAAGTCTGGTGATTTCAAAGTAACAATTGTGAATTTACTAAATCTAGGCAGTAGCCTACGATATTCTAGAGTCTTCCCAATAGCATTTTGGTTTTAAAGATATTGTTGTTAACAGATGAACTTAAATTATATAGTTTAATGAAAGATGCAGTCTGGTGAAGATAATGTTAAATTGTTATAGTCGCCATTATGATTTCAATTATTTTATATTGCCTTATGCTAGATTAACTTGAGAATGTGTTCAATGGTCAAAAGTACAAGTTTACCTGTTGATTTTTTAAATTTGTTTATTTAATTAATTTATTTCTATCTTTTTTTTTTAAATATTTTTTTTCTCGCAAGTTATGTTCTCGGTTTCGAAAGTGACATTTCTTTCCTGAAATGACCAAATGTATAAGTCGCGTGTCATTGATAAAACATAAGATTCTTATCTTATCGGATTATATTCTTTAGCGCAAAATAATCCTAGTGATTATCTATTGTCTGGGAACATCTTCGTCGAGTTAGGTTGTACGATCTTCCAACAGGCTATCGGGATGCTTATGGGAATATGTGTCCCTCTAATGATTGACTTTTTGTTTTCATACAAGTCTGAATTTATCTAAGAGCTTATGGAAGCAGGTAACGGTGACATTGAAAAGACGTTTCATCTCACGTTCAGATATATTTACAACATCTTGTCTTTTAAGGAACATCACAGTAAAGACATTAATTTTGTTATTGATGTTTTGATATTGCATTATTACATACGACGCAAAAAAGTACATATCTAGACTCAGAGCTGTAATAAATTTCAAAACAGGATGAATATGATAAAAATGGAAACTTTGTCATCGACTGGAACTAATTCTTAAGTTAGATCAAAGTCATCCTCAAAAACTATACAGTCGCATCAAGGACAAGAACATTGCTATATAGAACAACATAGAAGAAATAACTATTGACGTTATTCGGATGTCATGGTGTATCTAATTGTTTACCAGTCCAGTCAGGGTGTATAGATGTAAGGAAGATGTGTACATTCTAAATTCATTCATTGCGTGATAGTATGGACTTTCAAGATATTTGTTCGTGAGTTGGTAGTCTTACATCGATTTGGTTCCAGTAAGAGAGATACAGCATTACTAGATAAGAGTCGGTAGCGGTATATACACATTTAACGTTGTATTTTACAGAATGAGCGGTATCAGATATCTGTATTCCATATCTATTTAGCAATGACTTCATATTTTATTCATATGGCTTGTTCTGACAATGCTTTCAGTACATCGTTTATTCACAGTTCCAGGGATGTGCACACCGCCATGAAATACTGCGAAATTATTTATTTAAAAATAAACCATTGACCTTGACTAATAACATTCTACTGTTACAATGAAACAAGATCCACAGACAAGGTCTTAAAACACTAGGAATTTATCAAAACATAAACCATTCGCATGTAATCATCAATTGTATCAAGATACTTGCAATTTAATCATTCTGAAAAGAAATTATTAAGAAAATATTAAACTACAATTGTTTTCATTACGTTTTGAAGTAAATGTAATCAAACCTGAAAATAAGTAAGTAAATTGAAGTAAGTACAATCTAAATTGAAACGAAGGCCTGAATCACAGGGAAGGCATTAAAATCAATACCAAAGCAATGTAATGAAATACTTAAAAATTACCTAACCAAACATTTGGTCTTATAGTAATGAAAAATAGCGAAATAGGATAAACAATAGATTGACCTGGAATAACACTAGCATGACTGTGTTAATGAATATGAGCATTATCAAAGCGCTTCTTTGTAGTATCTGGGCCTTGTAGACAAGGGGTATCACTTAGGTATCTCACTGGAGGTTGGTAGTCTTGGCATTTGTTCAGGAATTCAATTAGCAATGCAAGTAAATCAAGTTCCTATTGTTTGTATAGGACTCCTAGCCAATCGGCACCGTTCACGTTTTAGACCGGAAGTGCTTATAAAGGACATAAAACATGTTATTTCTTCAATAAAACAGGCTTAATTACATGTGTAAAACAGTAAAATCACCCAGAAATAATTATCACGTTAATTATTTATTATAATAGACACATTATACAACAGAAAATGGCTATATTGTGGGAGATGTGGTAGGATATAATTGTTTAATGTACTGCTGGATGTGTGGACTTGTCTTTATTTTGGTCTGTAGGTGGATGTTTTAATACATATTACGGTACTTAAACTGGTATGTTTATAATAACCGATATCATTTTAATGAAGAGTTTAGTTGCGTGGTACAATTACATCATCAAGGCATGTTATGACGTGTGCAGGGGGAAATCGTAAGGTAACCAAGTCGATAAAAATTGACATGAAATTTATTATTTTGACGTAGTTATCGTTCAATACCCAAGAACCACGCTGCGTTAATAGCCTTCATAACATCATGAACTTCTTATCTAGATACATATATGACACAAACACCACGAGATCAGTAATAAGACAATACTGACTTGGCAGATTATGAAATTAGTTATGATCGAGCAATAGGTCTATGTAATTGTCCCAGCATGGTATTATATGTCTACTTGATAACACATGTAATTGTCCCAGTACGCTATCATTTGTCTACTTATTCCATTATTGAACAGTGTACGTACCTCAGCTGCATTATACGTCAGACTACAACTACTGGGTCAATACCTACATCATCCTATCAATGACCACAACTACAATAACGATATAACAACGACACAATAATGCTGGAGATATATAAACACCTTTACAATAGACACTGTGAACGATTTAAGTAGAATTAACTCATTTCGATATCTATTAAATAGCCCTTAATAAATTGATGATAGTTCAATTGGGGACAAAACAACCATCCTTTGTAACCTGAATTCATGTAAACAACATAATGGCAAAATATTAACAAAAGAAAAATTTATTCGGATTACAAGGTGAATAAAGTCCATTTATTCAGGAGAGTAAAGCGTTTTATACTTCATTGATTACATCCGCCATATAAAATCCATTTTGTTCCTGAACACAAAAACACTACAAGATTTCTCCTGATAACGAAAGGAAATTACAAAAAGAAACTACCACATTCTTCATCCTGATGAAAAAAAGACCTAATTACAAATTTGAAGGAAGAAAACAAATTTCCACTTTATTTATCAAGATCATCGATGGAATCATCTATTTCTACATCCTTAGAATAGCCAACATAAAAGACAATTTACTTTGGCCCGGCAAAAATATAAACATAGAAAACGAAATACAACTTTCTTTACACGGAAAGTTAATTGCACAGGACTACCATCCATAGAATGAACACAGAAAAGACAATATACAAGACAAGTATAGAATCAAATAAAATCGCAATAGAATCACCATGCTGAATGAAAAATATAAACTATCGACATGTGAACCGAACCGTAATCAAAAGTGATTAAACGAAGAAAAGGTAACAATTTAGATGTTCATGAAATTATGGAATTACATATGGAAAAGCACCAGCTCTTCTGAAATAATTAGTTTCCTTTGTATCATTGAAGATAATAGTGTTGCAAATATATATCAAACAGATCAGTACTTTCATTGACAAAACAAATAAATAAAGGAAGCCCTACCTGGCAGCAATAGATTAAGAATTATGCCTATGAAAACGGTAACACTATGTACATGTAAGGTATTATATTATATACTGACATGGCAAGCAGATTAAATACCACTTTCCATTTTTTACGGTAGAAAAAACAGAACATCATCTTCCACACACAATGAAGGTGAACGGGTCAAATCTTTGATTTCTATTGAATACAACCCGTCAGTTATACAATGCTTAGACAAGGCATTCATTTCGTTTCGTTTTCACCTGGGAAATTAGCCCTCCTTATGAATAACTGATGTCTAGAGATACTGAAAACATCACTATTACTACCCTTGAATTCTTTCCAAACATGAACACACATCCTGCTCCAGTGCCGGTAATATATACCATCAATCAAGACCATTTCCAATCAAGTCCACAAATGACCTACACTATTGATATTGGACCGTTAATGCTAATATGGTGAATACATCAACAACATCACTCATCACAATGCCGATATTAAAACATCCCCCAAGCTAACCAAAGTTGGTCGGGATATTACATATCAGTATTGTATCAAGGCAATAGCTGACAAGTGCTAATGTCCCTCAAATGATATTTCCGATTGACTTTTAACTTATATATTTAAATCAATACACTGCTTCATGAATTATACCAAGGCTAACATCCTCTTTACATTATGATACCCCTCCGACAGGAATAATTCCATCCTAATAAACTATTCTAATTATTGCTGATAGGATTCTATTTCAATCGAGGTTTGCATGCACTTTTGTGTTTTAAGTGAGGTGTGAACAATTAGGATTCTCATCACGTGATCACAAAATGTACTCTTGACCGACGAATAAAGTACCTATAAAAATACAAGTGTTACTATACGCCTTTTGTTGGCAGACTGGGACTTGTAAATCAAATCTCAAGAAAAAACAAAATGTCAATAGAAAGAGACATGAGGTTCTGGAAAGGAAAACAAATTCCTCATCCAGATACATATGCTGGGTTCTGATCTTCAAACACGAATAGTTTCTATATCCAAAAATGAAACAAAAAGCTAAAAATATCTTAACACCTTTGGTAATTTTCAGAAAGGGTTGTTACCACATTGGTAAGTGGTTGACATAAACTCTAACGCCTTCCTAAGTGACAAAACAAGCCGCACGCTCTAGTGTCACAGCCATACAGACCTGCCTCCACATCTCACGCAAGAGACGCCAATAACGGAGTGGGGAGTGTAACGGGAGTTTTCTCAGAATTTATATTCCTCCACCTACCAGACGGCCTCTGGGCGCATGGGTATATATCCAATTATGGACGTAATTTATAAGCTTTGGATTTTAAAGAATTGATATTTTCTTTTCAAAATGATAAATGATGGCAAGCAGCCAGCTAACAAAATTACAAGACAAGCAGTTGACAAATGCAAATTGGTACATAAGTAGAAGATGATTACCCTCCCAGAGTACCTGGGCTTACTTTATTTGTACTTTTTAAGTGTCTTTCGATCATCGATTTCGAGAGTATTTTACGACTTTGTTTCTTTGTCGGTATTTGGTTGTGTTATCTATTACGTTATGTAAAGAACAAGTAGACCATTAAAACAGTACTTAGAGATTGCATCAAATATTGAATCTCCAAGAAACATCTACGCTATATACAATATCAATATATAAAGTCTTAGTTGTTATCTATACTACACAAACTGTAATATTATACTAAATAAATTATTTATACGGTTCCTGGCAGCAAAATGCAACTCCAATTATTTCCCTACCAAAAGTATCTCAATAATCTTGTTAGTCGGTTCAGAAAATGTGTTTTCGTCATGCAATCTATGTTATTACAATGGTTTTAAGTCATTTGGTATCCTTACTTTGTTTTATCTATAGTTACTCACCTCGTCGAACTTCATACGGATGCTTACGTTATTCTTTTTCACATGAAGTTACTCGACCATGATACTGGTGTTTATGTAGTTCTGTTTTACCTATAGGTACTCCCCTTGTCGACCTTGATACTTATGTTTATGCAGTTTTGTTTAACCTATAGTTACACACCTCGTCGACCTTGCTACTATAGTGTATGTAGTTATGTTTTACCTATAGTTACTCACCTTGTCGACCTTGATACTGGTGCTTGCATAGATTTGTTTTACCTATAGTTACATCCCCCGTCGACCATGATACTGGTGTTTATGTAGTTCTGTTTTACCTATAGTTACACCCCCTGTCGACCATAATACTGGTGCTTGTGTAATTCTGTTTTACATATAGTTACTCACCTCGTCGACCTTGATACTTGAGTTTATGCAGTTTTGTTTTACCTGTAGTTACACACCTCGTCGACCTTGATACCTGTGTTTATGTAGCTTTTTTTACCTATTGTTACTCCCATCGATGATCTTGATACTTGTATAGTTTAGTTTTACCTTTAGTTACACACCTCGTCGATCTTGATACTTGTGTTTATGTAATTCTGTTTTACCTATAGTTACTCCCCTTGTCGACCTTGATACTGGTGCTTCTTATAATACTGGTGCTTGTGTAATTTTGTTTTACATATAGTTACACACCTCGTCGACCTTGATACTGGTGCTTCTTAGTTACTCACCTCGTCGATCTAGATACTGGTGCTTGTGTAGTTCTGTTTTACCTATAGTTACTCACCTCGTCGATCTTGATGTCGGTGTGCACCATGTAGCCGTCGTCGAGGTCTTGCTGGACATAATACCTATAGAATGGGCCATTGGGAGCTCGTGACGTGTTCCTCTCTGGATTAGCGGGCACAACCACAATATTGAACGACACATATCGCGTAAATTTCCGTGGCACGTGTGAAATATCTGTATAGTATAACCGGAAGGCCAGAAATTTCCCACTCGCGTCTGCCTCTAACATCCATGCCTGCTTGTCACGGTCGTACAGATGGGCACGATTTTTGTTCCTATTTAGCACTAAAAGTGAAACCTCACTGACAGACACGACCGAGTACATGTCCAGTCTGACTTTTATAGACGTACGACCCTTGGCCAGTAGTTGTAGGGTGGATCCGATGACGTAAGGATCACTGTTTCCGGTGGCGTCCAGCAGCTGATCGATAGTTCCGGAATCGTAAGGATTGCTATCCCCAAGGGTCACGTGATATTTGACGTTACACAAGTGGTCAAAACTGGTGTGACGATGAAGCTGGATGGCCACATTACTCTCAGTGTCTGCCGTGCTGGCGTTGGGAAACAAAGAAATGCTCCAGTCGAACAAACCAAATGAGAAGTAGGGTGATTCCATCCGGGGACCGTATGTGTACCGATTTGTGTAATCTTTAGGAATATTTAGACAACAATTTAATGTAGACACGACATTCCGGAGCTCTAGCTCGACAAGAAATTCACCATTTTCTTGCATAAATTTCCGCAGCATCAAATCTTCCAGAGGCACAAATGTTTTTCGACCTTTTGTGTCCGCCTGATCAGAGAATTCACAACCCTTCTCCAGAAAAGATTCATTCTTTGTAAAGTGTTCACTGTTAAGAAATGTAAAGGAGTAATCCAGTTTACACAACATAGCGGCAGACGAGGTCTGCAGTTTTAGATAAGCACCCAAATGGTGGTCGCTTTTAACAAAGCTTACCGTCCATTTCTGATAACCGTAAACAAAATCCTTTGAATACACGTCTGGTGAAAATTCTCGTAGAATCTTATTTGGCAGAGCAAACGTAAAGACTTGTGTATCGAAACGATCATTGAGTCTGATCATACGAAACAGTTTTGCCATATTGTAGAATGTCTCCGCCGGAACACTCAATCACTGGTATGCCACACTGATCACAAGACTTGGAGGAGGACCATGTTAGACCTAGTTGAAAATAGAAAAACGGAATTAGATACAACGTACAGACTGTCGTAATTTGTAAGGGGATCTTTTAGGAACCTCTGTGAAATTACATATACTAACTGCTTCAGTCTTCTGTTGAAATTTGATAGGAATCGTGAAATTGAATTGTTTGATACACAGCCCTGAGGAATATAACACAATTCAAAAATATATACATTCCCCAAAGAAAATCTGAAAGCTGCATTGTCTGTCGATATTCCTAAACTACAGGAATGTTATTGCTGTCGCATGTAGGTCTTGCGGAAATACTGATAGGATACTACGGCATCACCTATTGGAAGACTACATCATTTACACCTTGATCTCGTAGCATATCGTAGGAACGCTTGTCAAGAATTGGATCCCTGGAACAGTCTCTTTGGTAGATAAAGAAAATAAAGGCTGTCACCATGAACAGCTATTGACAAGGCACGACACAATTAACTACGGGAATCTATAATCATTTCTCGCTGTTCCGATAATAATATTCACAAAATTAGTTTAGAAGTGAATTGTGTTTGGAAAAAAATATCGATTGGCATTGCCAAGGGTGCAATAATGAATATTATAATGAAGTAGGAGGCATGTCATACTCGCTATCGCCAACATCGTGTAGTTGTTATGCAAGTTCCATATGCTAATATTGAGAGAATTAAATATATACAGGAAATATTTCGATGGTAATTACATTATATTGTACCGTAGCAACATTGCAACTGAACTCTATACGCAGTCTGATATACATTGAATATATTCTGTTGGAAACAAACGTATATCACAACAATTTAACGTAATGGGGATTTAATCTTAAATATTTTTCAGTGAGAAAAACAACAACCGATATATAAATAAATTTCTTCAACCATGTAAACCTTGAGGTGGTGGCAATATGATAAGTCACCTATACAGTAAACCTCCGAGACCATCAGTGAAGTAGGAGCGTTTACCTTATACAAGAAAAAGGAAAAGATTCTGAAAATGTAAGCGCTGCCAAAGAGTTTACACGTCAAAAACCCTGACTTCTTCAAAGAAGTATGAACCATTCCCTCATAGTAACAAATTTATGTCGTCTAACACGGAATGAATAAGGTCGACAATAAGTGGGTCATGCCAAGAATATGTCTATAAGGAGTCTAATAAACTACTCCTTTGCTTCAGTTTTGAAAATTGTTCAAAAAGCACACAAGTAATTAGCACCTTTCAAAACAAGTTAGGAATTAGATACAGTAGAGACAAAATGTACATTTGACTGCATCATACAGCTATTTGCCCTCCTTGAAATCGTCAGTGGTGTCAAGGGCCTTAATTGATCACATACTATTTCGCTGGAAAACTCCAGAAAATGTTTTAAAACAAAATACATGTATGAACACGTGTATAGTGCTGTTTTGGTTGTAATATGATCACGTGACTAATACCTTCATGACTGATAAATAATGAAGCATTAACAACAACGGCCGTTCACAACAACGTGTCAACAAAGTGGAAAAGGTGACGAAGTAATCGATTGTATCGTACAAAACACAGACAGGAGTCTTTTTTCTCTCGAAATAAAAACAACTCGAAGGAGAATCAAAGTATCAGATTAAGTTAATACATCCATAAAACTATCAGTTTTCACGTCATTTTTGGACTCAAAGTGATGTCGGAGGCCTTACGTGTGTAAATCTATAACACAAGTCAAGAAAATCGATATCGGCCGAAACAAATGTTATATTTCAAATGGATACCTACAATTACCGGCCGAAACAAATAACACAGTTTGAATGGGGAGCTGCAGTAACCATTCCAAACAAATGTTACGTTTTCTAAGGATACCTGCAATTACAGGTCGACACAAATTATACAGTTTAAATGGAGGGAGGGCAGCCATACTAACCGTTAAATGCAAATGTAACCTGCTTAAAGAAACGTTACAGTTAAAATGGGGCAACTGCACTATCTGACCGAAACAAATCTTACAGTTAAAATGGGGCACCTGCACTATTCGGCCGAAACAAATCTTCCAGTTAAAATGGGGCACCTGCACTATTCGGCCCAAAACAAATCATACAGTTTAAATGAGGAGCCGTACTATCTGGCCAAAAGAGGTGTAAACATTTAATTGAAGAAATGAACTTCCCGGTCGAATCAAATGTACAGTTTGAATGGGAAAATGAACTAACTGTCAGAAACAAATGTTACAGGTTGACTTGGGAACTTAATTAACTGGCCGAAACAAATGTAACAGTTTGAATAGGGAGTTGCACCGACCCAATCATTCAATAAATGTTAAAATCATGCCATTCTTGTGTTTTTAAGAGAACGTCAACTATGTTCACTATTCGGCGTTTCTGATCAGTCACACAACCAGCTTATTAGTTAATAATATATCTTATTCCGATACTTACTTTTGATATCCGGACCTCATTAAGGGTTATATAGAGGTAGGATTAAGGATCTCAATGCACTGTAGTATAACGTGTATTTATCACAATCGCAAGGACTTCTGAACAAACAATGTCCTACATCGATTCAATAGCTAATAACCTAGGTCCCTACTGACAGCGATAATAAAACATATTGACATTAGACGATCATGATAATGAAGAGAAATAATTTAATTCCTTGTACGATATGAAGCTTGGTGTATTGATGACGGGTTTGCCACTGAGATAAACCTAGTTCATATTTGAGAACATGGCATTGTATACTTGGTTTATCCCAGAGTTACACGGCGAATGTCGTTAATTTATCACTAATGATAAGCTTCTACTTTAGTTCTACCTTTTTGTGGTGGTCATGCAAATCTTTTCTTTATCCATATTTTTTCATCATTCCATCGATTTTCAGTTTTACTGAAGATTATGTCAACAAGCAGGCATTTTCGGAGTCATTTTCATATATATATTATAAATTTTCACGTTTGTTAATTCTGACAATCATTAAAATTCATACGAAAATGGAGAAAGGTAACATTCACAAAACACTAGTACTTATCAATCTTAATACAAAACAGTTGATTTCTATCGATTCGAAACCGTTGTAGATTCAGACAGGTGCCATTCCAGCCTGTTAATGCGAATACAGCCAAACAATTGATCATTACAATTGCCATGTTAGTAGCGAACAACTATAAAGTCACTCTCCTGCAGGATGTTACACAAAACAAATATTACGTTTTTTTGTAAGTTTGAAACTAAAACATCTACAAGTATCTGAATTTTCTAGTTAATGTATACTATTTCGACACGGGACAGACACATTAAATACTATCTCTGTAATATTCTGCGATGGGTGATGAAATCGTTTAATATATCTTACGTTCCGATATCAACGATCTCTTTGTTCATGAACAGTGTAAACTGGTATCGGCGTTGATATAATATGTATCATTTTAACATTTGATGCAAGTTCTGTAAGGCAATATAGATTTTATGTAAATGATAGTCATATTAATAAACAGATATTTGTAAACTCTTAATCCTGTTCATATCACGAATATTATTCCTAGAATTTATTCCGTTTTTTAGTGAGTGTTTTTTCACTACATTATACCTATTTATTGTCTAGAACACATCTGTTTAACAAAATATTGGCACTGTGTACTATTTGAAGCCCATGTCGTGCGCCATCTCTGTAATGATACCAGCCGTTCTTCAGCCTAATGAACTACTTACCTGTATCCATATCACGTATTGAGCGTCAGTTACCCGTCACATCTGACTGATATCCAGTCCTCCGACACATGGTGTGCCCGAGAGGCCATGCAGACAGATGTTTTGATAAACAAGTGACATGATAAAATATGTAACAATCTATGTATAGGATGGAACGGCACAATGAATTCGTTAAGGCAGTCTAGAATAACAATGGCTGTCGCACGAAACAAAATACAATTCAGTCTATAACGAATTATGCTGAAATATTATCTAAAATTCAATATACTTTGATTTTGTATGAGAACAACGTGTATTACAGTATAGGTAATATGCAATATAGTATGAAATGTTTGAGCTGAGAACACCCCAACCAGAATGTATTTTAACAGTATTGTTTTTAACATTTAGTGGTAGGTATATACTAGAAAACAGGTAGACTTTCTGTATTATGCATCATTACCAAACATTTACACGTTGAATCATACGAAAACATGGTACAAAAAATTTTTATTTGTTAATAAAGATTAACAATTGTAAACTCATGTACAATGATATTTATACTTACAACAACGATCGAATCTCAGCTCTGGTCTGTCAATTATTTATGTTTCAAACAATTGGTACCCACACCGTTACATGTACATCCAGTGTTTGCTAGATGAATGTGCAGAGCGTCAGGAATACTACTGGGCAATTCCGTATCCGAGTGTACTATATAGGCAGTTAAACAAATGCCATAGCTGAATGATCACCGGGTATAAATAAATAAACACGAACGACTTTATGACCAGGTAAGACTTGGCAGCCTCTTTCATAGCGAGAGAAGCCAGTGATTCCTGTCTCTGTAACGGAACAAGTCAATGCAGAGTCAGGTCCACTCTTTGATATCACAAGAGCGTCCTATCAACACGACACTCGGCATAATCTCTTAACAATAGCTGGCGCTCTCCGAGAAAACATGGCAATAGACGACTTTCATTGTCGAATTTACTAGGAAAACATTGGTGTATGGAGTGAAATGTATACTTATCAATCCGTTCGCAATGGTCGCTTGGCATACATTTAACCATGGTAAAAGTCATGCAATATTCATAACTGTATCACTACTAAAGTTAATCGTCAGGCGAAGGCTGCCGACTCTGGGTTAACCAAACTCGTCGCTTGTTAATGTCTGTTTGGCCCCATTTCACGTCTAGAGGTACGAACACCCGTTGTCATTGTAAACGATTAAGTATCGATCAAGTTATTTATAATTTAGTT